ATAATAATCAAACTGAAACGGAATGATATACCGACCACTTTTTCCAATTACACTAAGTCTGAACACAAAGTCAAAAAATAGCGAAACATCCTGGAAAATGTGACCGGCAACTATTATGTGTTTAGCCGTATACAGAGACTGAAATAACTCTCGACAGAACGAGCTTATTGCCGCGTTTATCAGGAGTTTACTCTGCTTTGGAATTATTTAGCCTTTCACCTGAGTGAGGCCTGACAGTTGCAGGCACCAGGGGTATGAAATAAAAGCCTGATTACGGGGCTTCCTAAAAAGCTCAATATTGATAATAAATATCAGGCTAAAAAATTTGTAATGTCATTCTATAAATGAATTGTTGTGGTCGAAATAACACTAAATCTGGACTTGTTCTAATAAAGCAACGACGCACGAAAAAGTACTACTGATCACTTAACTGCCGTTCATGCATTGAGAAGACACGGAAGAATTACCTTAATCACATACATTTCTTGCTCCAGGGAATGACAAAAGAGCCAGAAATCACAACTAATTATGTACTTACTTCAAGCCATCAATGACTTATACGTCTGGATTACACATCAGACAGGAAAGTAACTCTGATATTCTTCCTCCGGTCTTAGTGCAAGCAAAGAATATGGCACAGGCCCTGAAATATCATCCAGGAATACGCCAGGTTACACTAGTTGCGTCTAATACGGTCTTAGCCGGCTAAAGCACTCTCACTTTTAGCCCAAAAACATTAACTAGATTCATACGATTATCATCCGCTCCGTTTTTTGTCAAATGTTTAAAGTGTCTTAAATACCTTCAGGAATCTTTTAGCAAAACCAATTTAACTACTAGTGAAACTAGTGACAATGGGATAGAACAGCGTTCTACAAAATTCAGCTCTCCCGAGTAGGTTATACGCTTGAAAGTGACTAGATACAAATAAAGTTAATTTCCCTTGAAATGCGGAGTAACTGCATTGAAAAAGGTTCATCGAGATAGTTCAGCTACTACAACATTTAAACTTATTGGACACTGACTTACGACCGGATTTATAAGTCAGATAGGCAGAGCGTAAGGAGCACTGGATAATACTACATCCGCCATAGAGGCAGGTTAATTTGCATGAATTTCATGCAATTTTTACAGACACAGTCAAGCATAATAAGAGTCACAATCGTAAAATATTGATAAATTATTACTGCTTGAACTTCGAAATAGTCAAACTATAACATAAGAGATGAGTACAGGCCCATATAATGTTAAATTGTAAATCCATCACCAAGGTCATCATGAGGGTTGAGCGACAACCCAATATTCTCCCTGCATTCAGAGGATGACTGTTCTACAACTGTGGAAAACCAACATTCAGGTAAGTGCTATGTCCACGCTTGACTAAAAGCTATTTTAGGAGGAAAGGAACGTTCTCAGAAACTGCACAGTAGAGTAAAACACAATTAAGGATAACACTTGGTTAAAAACACTTACATAGGACCACAAGAAAAAGCTGTGCAGTTCTTCGAATGGTAATGTGCATTTGCACCATAAGCTGCTAACCGCGTTGGCCTTACTACGGAAACTGTCTTCGATGAAAATACAGCCCTCCACAAACATGTTGTTTTATCTTTAGCACAACCAAACTTTAAGGAATGTGAATTAAACGACTGTATTTTTGCTTTATCAGAAACTCGGGCAGTCAAGATATATTGCAGCATAATAGTACCCAGGTGAAACGTATCATGAAGTGTTTAAATGATGGTTCAGTTGGAAGTGCCAGGAGAAGACTTCTGATTGAGTGCAGACCCAGTTCAAACTAGTGTCCTTTCGGCAACACCAGTAATCCCCTGCTAACATTTGACTTGTTACGCTAAGCTTGAAATACACCACTTTGTATCTGTTGGTGTTACGGCTAAATGTAAATTGGCAACATTGGTTTGAAGTCTTACGGTTTGAGTGGTGTACGTTACTCTGGACAGATGAATATTATGGCATTCTTTTTAACTTAAGCTCATAAACCTTGTTCTAAGACCCTTCAAAGCTCCGTTATTGTTCAATGAACTCTGCCAAAACTTAAGACTACGATGCCTATGTGTAAGCAAACTCATGGCTTAAATATAGCACAATTCATTAAAAAGCTGCAAGTGAACTTAAGGATAAAAGACGACTAGGGTTGGGGTTCCAGCCGAAAGTTGTCATGAATGAACCACATCCTTTCAGGTGATTATTTGCCAGCAGAAAACGACCAGATTAAGTATCTCAGTAACAGTGACATCATGGTAGTAATGTCTGTAATAGTATTTAGCAACAGTCCACAGTAGGACTCTTCCCATGAATATCTAGCTGAATAATCGTAAACGCGACGTCCGTACATTTCTTCGTGGACCACACACTGAACACGCCAGGCAGCAGACGAACATCAAGTGGTGGAGAAAACAGTTGTCCACATAAACAATTATTCCAAGCAGATCAAGACAGTTTGTGCACACTCCCAGAAAAACTAAGAACCTGACATTACTGACAGTAGGCTGATCTTGACATTCATTCAGTCCTTTCAAACGGGTGTAACATGAGAATTAGGAAGGGTGTGTAACGGATGAGAAATTATATCAAAGCGGTTTGAAAAGCGGATACAATACGATGATCTTTTTCAGTATCAAAACAGCTTAATTTCAGACAACATACGAACTTATGGTAAAAAATTTTCAGAGTATATAGTTCGGAAATACTATTTCCTTCATCAAAGATTTCCATGTAAAGCAATAATCCGAAGTATATCTCTATTTAGTTGAAGAATTGCACAGCGTTTACTTATGAACAAGTTAAATAGGCGCGGAAGTTTATGTATCGGTCATTTAGTATGCTAGGACGATTAAAACAACGGTAAATCTAGATGCAATTTGGCATTTTGGTGGAAAGAAACTTCGGTAGCCCAGTGATTCAAGCAGGCCACCTGAAATATCTTGTGTGTGCAGAAAACAATAGTTGTAGGTTAAACTTCGGTTGGTGTTCTACAGGTATGGAATTTTCAGCATGGATATCGGTAGCCCAAATTTTACAGGCCGACCGTAGATATCGGGTGTGCGTCGGCAGGGGATCGAACCCCGGACCATGTGCATGGTAGGCGAGAGTTCTAACCGCTGTGCCACCGACGCACTGGGGGCGAATTAGTCTGGTTTATTTATTTTTCCTTATGATAGCCGGCGTAAGGAAATTGGCTGTACAAATTTCTTCTGAAAATATAAGTTTGGCTTCTTCAGAGGGATTCCTAATGACTCAGCCGTATGTAGAAGAGGAACTGGTAAAGCAAAATTAAGATTAGTAGGAATGAGATAAACAATTATATATACCGCATTAACATTAAATTTATGCTCACTGTTTACAACGTGCGCTTAGATACAGCTGCGAATAGATCTTGTTTGTCATTTACTTAACCGTGATGGATGATGTTCGGGAATGCAACAGGTCAGCTTGTCCCACAGGTTCTAAACTTTCAGATCCTTGAAGCCACTTCTGACTGAAATATCACTTATGCACTTATATACTAACCTATTTTATTTTAACTACCTAGGCCTTTAATAAAGCCAAAATTTACTCTTTTGTCCGTATTTGTTGCTCGCTTAAAGTCTAGTTGCTGTGATGGAAAAACAAAAACACCAATGCTTGAACAAAGCTATATTTTCATCGGAAACGTCATAGTTTCCACGGTAAGACAAATATGGTTAGCATTAAATATTGCGTGCGTATACTATCATTCCAAAGACTCTATATCTTGTATATTTACTTCCAATGATGTATTATTATTAATTTAATCTTGTGAAATTTTGCGGTTTCTCAGGACGTTCTCCTCTTCCTGAAATAGCTTTTAATCACGTAGGGGGACAGTACTTGCCCAAATATAGGCTGTTCACTGGTTGACCAGAAAGCGAACGAATTTTGGATTGGCGCTCAACCTTGATGATGACCTTAGTGAGGGATTTGCAACTTAACATTTATACGAACCTGTTCTGATTGCTTGTACTATAATTCAACTATTTAAACTTTTGGAAATATGCTATTTTATTAATTTTTCGTGATTGCACTTCATACCATATCTTATGGCGCCTGTAAAATGGCATGCATTTCATGTCAAGCTACGAATTTGTAGGGAAAACAAATTATTATTAAAATAGTGTTTCTTGTAAGGCATCCTTAATTTTTCATCTGCAGTCTTGCTGTCTTGTAGATTATTTAACCAGCTGATGGTTTTAGTGACCGGTCGCTAAACAGTTATAACAATGTGATGATAGATAATGAGTTGTGCAATGTGCAGAGAGCTGGGTGACTTTTGTTCTATAATTATTAGTGTGTTTACCACTGAAACAAGAGGCCTGTCTCACAAAGGATGAGACAAATCACAAAGTCGTTCAATGAAATAGGCCATCTCCTCTTACGTCTGCCAGAATTTTTGAATGGTGTATGTCCTATGTTATAACTTGTCATGTGAATTAATTTCAGTCCATTTTGTGCAGTCTTTTAAGAGAGGGCTGAATTTAATTAGTCGCTATGCTCTATCTTTCCGTAATGTATCGTATTAATCTTTGACTGTTTGTCTATTGATTTCCACTTGGTAATTCCAGCATGACCTTCCTTCATTTACCCCTTAGTTTGATCAAAACATCATTTTTATGCAGTTTCGGATCAGACCAGCTTCAACTACTCCTAGTCTGATCCACCGTGAGGAACCTTACCTAATTGCTAGATTCTTCAGCTAATTTCATAAAGAGTTCAAAGGAAGATTTAATCCTCTCGAGAAGTTAGATGGTGTTCCGAGAGCCAAAATATGAAATACATCAAGTGACACAACAACAATAGTTTTCTAAAGTCTCCTGTTGGATGTTAAATATCTGCTGTATAATTCGAAAAGAATGAACTAGGAATCTTACACCAACAAGATAATATAAATTTGTCCATTTCTGATCATTTTGAATGCTCCGATCGGTGTATCCCGTCTATCATTCATTTTTGTTTGAATGCACCATTGGGAAAAGTCGGCCTAGATGTTTACAAAATGTGTAATGGCAGAGTTACTTTTATTTCATTTTGACTTCATTTTCCAATTTTCCTAGGAATCTAAATGTATTGAAAGTAAGTCGTGTAGTTTGTTTTATTTCTTTCTATTTCATTTGTAACTGAGGAGTATAGTATACTTAGGGAGTAAGTGTGGAGAGTTGACTATCTTGTAGACTCATTTAAGCGTAGGCGTATGTTAGGCAAATGTAAATTGTAGCATTAAATGATAGTCAAACGGCTCTTATGTGCCTAAATAAAGCTTTATTGTAAGCATTACGTGATTTGTGATATTTTCATTCTGGAACTCGATGTCTATGTTTTGCACTCAGCTGTTATTCATACGGTCATGGTTCATGGCGCTAAATATTATTGCAACTCGAAGAAGTGATTCCATTTTCTTTTATTCGTGGGTTTAAGCTTTGTCTCTTTATATTTTGCTTTGATAGGTCCTAGTTACTAGTGGTTGTAACCGCTTTAAAGTGAATATCAGTCCTCAGTACTAATCAGTACGAGGACCGCTTTTGATTCAACTTTGTTCAAGTTGATCAACAGATGAATATGTTTGAAAGTGCTTGGGATGTTTCTGTTAAAAACACTAGTCATCTGGTGCCAGCTCACCTAATGTTCATTTATGTGAATGTAAGAGGTCTTTTTCGCTGTGATTTAGGCCAGTAGTCATGTGATTGCCTATTGGTTGATCAGCCAGTGTAACTGAACTTTGTCATCGGTATTTATGTGAATTTCAGTTGGCTGCCCACGATATGTTATGCGGGCAAGTTGTGATGTTCACAAGATGACAGTGCATATTCATGACCTTGTAAATTAGCAAGTTGTGGGAGTGTCATTGGTACTACCTACCTATCTAAACCTAGGTAGGTGGGACCAAGTTCAAATCAATGTGGCTCTTAAAGACTTAACGTTTGGATAAATAAGCCAGGAATTCACGACTACATTACATAGTTTGTCACTTCAACTTTAAAACGTCACCGTGGACAGTTTGTGACGATTTGTTTGAAGTTAGGTAGGTGTGTACTGCTGATGAAACCTTAACTACTTGTTGCTGGTCTTCAGTGCTTCTCTTACTGGTATGAGTCCGTGATCAAACTTGAAACAAATAAAATCCCTACAAGCAAACTCTTGAAAATGTTTCTAGATGAATAACATATGTCAACATTCATTCATGCTAATCAGATTTGGCTTCTTACTACGCTTGTAGTAAGCTGTACCAAAGTAGTTTACTTATATTATGTATACACTTCTAAGATCCGTAATAATGAGAAGTCAGTATGTTTTGTGCAAGTGACGTAACTAAAACAAACCATTGGGGCACAGTGTGAATATTTTTCAAACACAAGTCTATGTATTTTGTATCCACAGTGCTTTTATCGTGTTTTTTCATATAAGGTATAATTGCATTATCTGGATTGATCTTTGACAGTGTGGCATTTCTCGCCACAAGTGTCGACACTCGCCAATATATGTGTATCTTGCATCTTTAATGTCATTCAAAGCAATAAATTCACTATTGACTACTTCTTAACTATAAGAGACTATACCTTGAAACAGTTAAGTGTCTATTGTTTCCTCAACTTGACTTAATCATAGTTTGTGTCACAATGAAACAATATCCATCATATAAAGATTACGATATTTCGCCTTCTCAAGTAGTTTCAGGAGGTACCTTCTGTTCTGATGTCTTTCGTAGTGGTAATGAAGTTTTACAGATGACCGGGACAACTGTTCGATAGTCTGTACTGTATGTATATGGACAAAACTCAAACAAAACTTCAGATGCACACCTGCTAGATGCTCATTTTAATTTTGATTCATTGTTACCGAGTACTCACTATATATTCCAATGAGTCCAAAGTTATGGTGAAAAAGTTCCTGATTTATGGTAGGCATTTTTCTTTTGACAAGACGAATTCATCCTGCTTATCATAAGGACTGACAAACTGACTGAGTTCTAAGATGCGAATTTGCACAGAAATGCAGCACTATAACTTGCCACATTCCATGTAACACACAAAGTAAGAGAAGAGGAAGAAAAGATTCAAAAGAACTATAATAAGCAGAAATAAGCGACAGAAAGGATAATAATCTGGTAAATATGTGGATATAGACCACAAAGAGTGAGTGCATCTGCAATACTGAGAACGATTTTGAGTCATATCACCAACACTTTCCAAACACTAGTTGTTTGTGTCCCGGGGACTTCCACAAGACAGTCTGCACCTTTATACGTGACTCAAACTGACTGTCAAACACTTCATGGGCTGATCCCAGGTTTTGGTCTGGCCACACCTAACTCTTTTCTAACCTAATCACATGCCAGCTAACATGGCTAATCGAGGAAGACAATGGCTCAGCATGCGCAACATGTATCAGCCATCTCAATCTATCCATCTTCGACTGACTTACCCTCCTTACTTAACACAGCCTAACAGTTTTGCTCACATTATGCCTCTTAAGACAGGAGATAGAACGCAAACATCTGTCGTCAGAAATAACTAACCTTTCCATATATTCCCCTTTCAGTGGTAATGACTCACGGCCATAAAGAAACACAGAGCAAACGGCTGCACAGTGCACACTTTGATTGATAGTCGGATATCATGTCTAAACCAGAGATGTATGTATATGCGCTGAGATATCGTCAACAGTTAGTCGTCGGGGTTGATGCAGCTTCCCAAATAAGTGAAGTTGCAACGTGTCCTACCACTTCACTCCCCATCTTTAAGCTAGGAGTCGAAGTAGTCCTGCCCCGCAGCACCATCTCACGTTTGACAAAGGAAGCAAATTGCTTTCCAAACACTCGAAGATTGCTGTTGAAAATGTTCATAAGACTCGTTTTTCAGCATCTTCACCTAGGAGAAGTATATGCGCATATTCCAAGTGAACAAGAGTATACTCTGGTAGCAAGTCAATCCCTTAGTCGCTAAAGTCTGTTAGGATCATTTGAACTAGTGCATCTATGGTGAAATCAAACAGAAGTAGGGATAGTGGAAATCTCTAACGGACACCACTGATTGTCGTCATTTCAGATGATGTCTTCTCACTGTTGGTATATCTTGCTATAACCGGCGCTACGGCCTTTCATATTACAGGTTATTTCTTAGCATTCCTCACTTAAGGTTAACAGTACATGGTATCATCTTTCTCTAAACGAACCCGTTGTCATGCCTTATTTGGAAGTTTCTTTTACAGAGAATAGACTTAGGTGGGTCGGCGTGAGTGACAGTTCTTTTGTTGGTGGGGCGGGGAGGGGGTTCAAAATCGTTCTCACTCATGCAGTTGGACTCACTCCTTATGAACACCTGGAGCTACCAGATTTTTATTGTTCTCAATATACCTATGTTTTGTCGTACACATTTCCTTCAATTATAACTTCTTTTCCTTTTTTCTTTTTACGTGCTGTGTGGAGTGTGGCGACTTGAACTCTTGTACTTTTTTGTGAAGTTCTACGTCAAAAACTCATTCGGTCACTCAGCGGCCATCTCCGCTCGAAATGTTGGGAAATGGTGTACACTGATGGTGACAGTCGGATAATTTATGTCAGGCTGAGGACTGAAATACACTTTGTTGAATATTTGTCAAGTGTTCACTCCACTTTATCTAACTTCATAAGTGTTCCCCTCTAGGGTACGTCGTCTGACCATTGCTGAGAATAATTCCACTAGGGATTCTGAAGTAGACCTGAGATGCCCAGCCGACATAGGCTTCTTAAAAAACGGACTGATAAAGTATCGAATCCATTGCAGGAGTTCCAGTACAACGACACCAACAATTGTACATCCCGCCCTATCCTACGGTGGTCGGTGGTTGGCGATAAGTTACTAATACGAAACCAAAACCAAAAGACAGTTCATTCACACTGTGACCAACCTCAAGCAATTGTCCCTTGGGCTCTGCGGTCACGCAACACACCCTCTTTCTCCTTTAGGTACCCCAAGAATAAATCAACTTCCAGTGTGGGCAACCGAGAAGTAACAACCACCCGCACACTTCCAAAAGCACACGAAGCTCTCCTGACCATCATTCTCCTCTATCCCTGTCACTGTCATCTTGTTTTCCTCCTACTGTTAATACTATTGTGCAGGCTAATCAGTCATCTTCATTTCATTCGGTAACCACAAATAACGATGAGAGCCATAGAAGCACCCGCGACAGCCTCTTAAATCCACGCCACCGACTTCATATAAAAGCATCCAACGTCAGGACTCTGCCAAATCCAGACAACAGGCATCACTAGCAAGAACTGTGGCATCGCGAGCCATGGATGTATGTTGTGTTTCGGAGACATGCATACAAGACGTGTGGTTATTTACTTAACCCTACCCGGCCAGCAAGGTGAATCCACCCTAAGTGTGTCAAGAGACTCCTCAGCTAGTTTGCAAGGACTCGCAGGTGTAGGGATAGCATTGAGTGTTAGGGCAGAAAAATTTCTTGTTGACAGGATCCCAGCAGATAGTGGTGTGTGTGCGGTCCGTCTGAATGGGTCCGTTATAGGAAGGAAGGACAGCATTGCCTGTCGTCTTTTCATAATCTCCGCTTACACCCCAACTGACTGCAGTTCGGATGAACTACTACAAATCGTCTAGTTCGCTGCAGAAAGCAAGACGCTCAGGTATAGGTGTTTTAGCAGGAGTCTTCAGTGCCCGAGTAGCGAAGTTGTGCCAGACTGAGAAGTATGTAGGTGGTACGTATGGAGTTCCCTGTCGCCGAACCGACAGCGGTGATCGTCTTCTTCAGTTCTGTTCAGATAATCATCTGTTCCTAGTCAGCACTAACTTTAGGCACAATGAGAGACATTGCGTAGCCTGGTGACCTCCATCACCAAATCAACGCTGGACTCAGATAGACCACATAGCGATAGATTATCGTTGGCGAGGATCAGTAGAAGACTGTCTCTCCTTCTGGAACACGTGCGTAGACTTTAGATCGAAACTCTGAGTCCCTATTTAAGGAAGAAATAGCGAAACGAGTATCTGAGGTCGACAGCAGGACTCCTCCTGAGGTAGCCTGGCACAACATACAGTTAGCTGTAGACACAGCTATAAAAGCTGCTAATAACC